ACATATAATATTTGTAATGTCATCTTTAAAATCCCCACCGTGGGTCTGGTCCCTGGCTCTGGTGTGCAGCGTGCTGTATCTGGGGAGTTCTGGCTCAGTGGGTGTGCGGCATGGTGTCCTTTTGATTATTTTTGTGTGTTTGCTTTTTAAATGTTTGAATGCAGAAGCTTTAGAATGATTTGGCTCATTGTGAAAATGAAATTGGCAGTAACATTGTTTAACAAATTTGGGAGACTTTCAAAGCTCTTCATATTGGTATTGCAGATTTCAGTTATTCAAAGTGTAGCTGGGTAACGTTTCCACCTATCAGGCATTGCACATACGTTAATTTTGGAAATAAGCTCATTTTAAGATATTGTTTTCAATGCAGCCAAGTTCCTGTTTTCTTACAGAAAAGCATGATGAAAGTCTCAAAGCATTCCATGAGATATAAATGGACTTGGCATATAGTTATTTTCTTGTGATCTCCAATCCAAGTTCCTGTTAGATTTAAAAAGGGTTTTGATCACAGATAGTTGTATGCTGTTTACCTGCATATCTCAAGAAGCCTTTTACTCTAAAGTGATTTGGTTAAAATTCAGGTCTATCTTTATCCAGCATTTTACAGAATATATTTTTAGCAAGTCAGTCTTTGAACTCAAAACATTCAACTGATGGCTCTTGCAATATAATATTTGTTGTCATCAGCTTGTGAAAACTGCAGTAGTTGACGGAGATCCATTACTGGTATCTGTTTTAAGATCTGACTTTTTCCTCTGCTTGAAAAACTATTGTGCACAATTCAGTATGAGTTCCCATCACCTGGTGATGCCTTGACAAATACGGAGTGTAAATAGGTCAGCTTTTTAAAGCATGCCTGCAATTGCTCTGCCTTTGGGTTGGGTTGTACAAAAAAAATGGCCCTTGGTCCCATGCAAAATAGTGGGGAGGTTTACCAGCCCAAACAAAGAATGCACGGGGCGTTACTTTTCACGTTGCTGTTACGGGAGGTAGACATGAATATTGTATCAGAAGGTCAAATGTATTACCAGCTGGCTCTGTTAAGTCTCTTTTTGTGAATGTAAGAGTTTAAATACAATATTGTCCTTTTACGCTGTGGAACACTCAGTAGTTTAAATGTCACATTCATTGTCTTAATTGTCAACAGCGAATCTGTGGTACTTGCTAGTTTTTCCTTTGGAAATATTAGAGAGAACACTTTTTTGTGAGCTTTGGTGCTGTAAACAAAGAATCGCTGTTTGTTAACTGTTGATAAAATTGGCTGTGCTGCGTTAGTGGGGCATCTCAGTGGATGGTTTTGGGTGCTGCTCTTTCCTGAGTTGCCTGGGAGTGGTGGCCGCCGCAGCACGTTTACTGGTGCTTTCCAGAGGAACGCTCTCTAGTCGGAGGGCCTGTCGTTAGGGTCACCATCTCTGGGGCTCCAATTTCCTGGTTGGTTCTTCTGCTGCTTGGGTGCCCGTCTGCGTTCAGGTGCTGAGATGGGAGTGGGAACAAGGAGCAGCAGAAGACACGGCTTCTGTGGCTCTGGGTTATGCGTAAGAATGAGTAGGTGGCTCATGGATCGGTTTTGCAGCATTGATTGCTAGCATTGATTCTTCCCTAATACCTGTCAGCAAATGCTGTCTTGTAGATCGTGTAGTCCCAGCCTTGTCCACTTCCTCCCTCCTGGAAACTCCTCACCCTGCTCAGTGTGTTCCCAGCCTCCTGGGCACAACTCGTGCACAAGCACTGAAAATGGGAAAGAGGAGCTGGTCATAAAAGACAGTGAAGAAAGGTTTGATACTATTTCCAACCTTGTTATTGCCCATTTAGTAGGAATTATATGTATACACATATATATACACACACGTGTATGTATATGTCTAAAATATCTCTCCCATGTGCAGTGAATTCTGTTGCTTAGCTTGCAAATTATTCTCCTAACAGTTCTACCACCAACAATAACCAATTTAAGGTTGAAATTTTAAAAGTGACGTGACTTCAAAATCCCATTTTCAAAAATGTCTCAAGCTCTTAGGAGCATAACTTCATGGCATTTACTGTTTCTATACGCTCTTGAAGGATATGGGAGGTAGACTCCTGAATTTCTAAGTCCTGTTTTCTTTAAGCTTCACGTGAAGGTCTGTTTGTGACTCTGGTTTCTAAAACTCTGCCCCATGCATCTAGATAAAAGTGATACAAATGAATTATCTGTTCTCAAAAGTGTCAGGTTATTAAAGCATAATCAATTGATTATCATCTATTTTAGTAGTCATTTTAATCCAATTATATGTGTTTTTTCATTTTAATCTTTGGAATTCATTACTGAAAACTTACAGCCTTGCTTGTAGCCATGAAAAATTAGATCGAGTACACCCTGCCCTACTTAAACTGTGTATTAGCAAAGCTACTTTTTCCTCAAGAACTATTCTTTTTCACGGCTGACTATGACTCCAAATGCTTAGGAAAAAACCCTCCCTAATTGATAACCAAAATTCAATCATAGTCGGATACTTCCAGTTTGCATTCAAATAAGGTATTTCTCTGTCTAAATAAGCTTCTCTTGGTTGATTATTCATATTGTAGTTCAAAATGTTTAAAAATGAAAGACAGAGTTGGATGAAATGTAGACTACTTAATACAGTGTGTATTTAATATAAAAGTCATACATTATTCATTTTTGCAATTTGAATAACTTTGAATTTAGCATCCCTGTTCTTCATCTTTTCCTTTGATGAACAATTAATTATTAAAATATAATATTGTCAGCATATGGCACAAAAATCCTTGAAAGTGTAAAATGAGCTTCGTTCTCCTGCCATGCTTTGATAAAGGGATATTCCATATTCCCAGTTTCTCACAGAGTGTTTGTCCGGCATCATAAGTGATTCCGTCATTCTAAAGAAAAGGTTATAAAAGTTAAAAATAGTTAAATTGTTAATTTTAACTGAAACATTTTTTCTTAAATACAAGAGGAAAGCTCTTTTCAAAATGGGCTTCTACCTCCCATCTATTTCATGTGTAGTCATCGGCTGTTAACGCGAAGAGGATGGTTTGCATGTTCAAATACTCTTTCAGATTCATAGCAGTCCACTGTGTGCTCAGCTTCCATATAGAGAGAGACAGTTTCTTAAATAGAAAACCCATGTCATTTCGCTGTGAAGATGTACGCGTGCTGCATTTGGAAACCAAATCCTGTGACTGAGTTTGCAGTTTTTCTAACCCAATTTTTCCTGCATAAAAATAAGCCAATCAAATTAAATACGACCTTTTGCTGTGATTATGACTTCTTGATTAGAATCTCTTTGAACTTTGGCCAATCATATATATTTGACTATTTACTATATAAGCACACTTTTTCCCAGAGGTATTCCATGAAGAGGAAATTATGTGTTTTGTTACTTGTTTGTTTCCTTTTTGGAGATGCAGAACTGGTTGGTATCTGCTTGGATTAGAAGGAAATAAAACGTTAATGAAGATATTGCAGTATTCTGTTACAATGTATACTTTGACTTTAATAGAATTATTAAGATTTTGGAACGTTAAAGGCTATGAAAACATTGCACACCTGTTGATACTGTGCAGAAGAATAGAAGATGTCTGAAGTTCATCATGTATTTACACCTTGCAGCAGCAGTGGAGGAAAAATCCCCCTGATTACCAAGCTGCTGCTCAGAGGCATAGGCAACTCTTGATTTGATCAAGACTTCTAGAAAACTGTGGGATGCTGTGGAAGTGAATTCTGCAGACTTCATCCTTTTTCTTTTCCTTCTGACTTTGGAAGATGTGTGTGTCAATCACCAGCCTACCTGCTTCTCCGCTCTGCTGCAGGGGGGCAGGCTTGTGCTTAGCAGCTCTGATGAGGCACAGAGAGAAGAGTTCCTGCTACCCAGGTGCGGACGCTTGTTTGAGGCACGAAGAATATAGAAAGTGAGGAGTAGAGATGTATGGGAGAGCCTCATGTGTCAGCATGCCCCGAGGCAGCGAACACCTTTGCACAGGCTGAGAGGGAGCTTCGGCCTGTGAGTCAACATAAATTGCGGAGGATAAATGCTCGGGGATGGCAGGGAAATTGTCTTGCCTGCAGCTGTTCCCTCCTTTCATTTATTTATTTTTCTTCACAGTGTTAAATATGACCAGCTTGTCACTGTTACTTGAAGCTAAATGCTTTCCAGTGCTTAGGTTTGCATTTCAGGCTGTCCAAGGAGCTTCTCGGAGGAAAGAGTTTGTGCCCAGGGCGTTGGACCCCAGGAAGGAGTTTCTTCGACAAGGGAGAAGAGGCAGTGGTTTTACCTCTGGAACATATTTCTGGTGCTGCGCTGACTGCACCCAGCAGCACCCCTGGCGATGCCGGTGTGGCCGGGTGCAGGTGGTCCCAAATGACCGCTGGCTGGACGCTGCTTTGAGCACCACGTTGGTGGTGGCAGGTTGCCCGCAGCGGGCAGCCCCGCTCCTCAGCTGGTCCCCTGGCAGCTCCCAGAGAAGTCTGGCTGAGCAGCACGGCTCTGCCTCCTCCATCTCAGCTACCCACGGAGGGATTGACCCCACTCCTGCATCCCTTTTCCCCGCTGCGGGGGATGGGATGGATACACTACATGATGCTCTTTGGTCGGGCAGCAGCAAGCAGGACCAGTGGGGCCCACCTGTGTTCTCACTGGGTCTTGGCGAACCCTCGCTGCCATCAGGATAAAGAGCCATTTACTGTGTGCTGAAACCACTGAAGGTGGTGTTGTTTCTATAAACCGGTGGGGTAACAAGGGCATTTCACACCTGCACGCCTTCTAAATAGGAGTGTGCGTGTTCGGTATAGGTTTGACTAGCATTTTGGCTGCTCTTTTAATAATCACCACATCAAGTCTTACAGAGCCTTTCTGATAGGGTGTTTTCATCTTTCATTATATATATATATATGATAAAATATGTTGTTGCCATTACACCTTGTTAGGCTGCCTATCAATGTGATGTCTGTTTTAAAGACACGTAAAAAAAAGTGTAATTCTGCTTGTCAATCTTCCCCACAGAGAAGGAGACCTTTCTGGATCCCTTTGTGCTGAGGGACCTTCTGCCGACATCGCTGGGGAGTTACTACCGCTACGCGGGTTCTCTGACTACTCCTCCGTGTAGCGAGATCGTGGAGTGGATCATTTTTCGGAAGCCTGTTCCCATTTCTTACCATCAGGTGTGTTTATTTTGTTAGTGAAGTCCATCTCTTGATTTACCCTCTTGAAGACAGTGTTTTCAAAACCCAAGGTTTTAATTTTGAGGACAGAAATGTTTCTGTTGACAAAAAAGGAAGTGTCGGTGATTTTTATTTTTTTTCTTAAGTAATATTGTTTCTGAACATGAGCCATCAGTCTTAAGAAGACAGTACAACATGAAACCCAGTTTCCTTTCAATGATTTATTTGGTATTGTTTTTGTTAAGATTAAATTAAGCTATGGTGTAAATATTTACATGGAGTTCCTTTTTATTCTTTTTAATTGAACTTTCTTTTCAAAGTAAAGTGAGTGATTTCAGTTCTGCTCAGATTTAGTAATTTGAACTAATTACATTAGAAAGGACGTCTTTCCATTAATTCTCCATGCTTAACTGTTTTTATAACACAGTAAAGCTGCCATTATGTGCTTAGAGAGCTGGTGCACAAATCTTTAAAATTAGCACAGAGCAGCTTTTAATGCAAATAGACGCAATGTCTGGGATATGTCTGGAGAAGAATGCTCCCGATAAAGTAATGGCTAGATGGAGTCAGATGTTTACCAGTTAAGTGTATTTTGACATTGTAAGATCGTTGTGTTTAGAAAGCCATTCTGCTGAAGTTAGTCTTTCCTTTTATTCACCTGGAGTAAGCCACTGAAAATAAACTTTTTAAATACATGAATTCTGTAAAGCATAGGTGAATAGTTCACTGGGTGATCATGACTGACAGGTGCTGGTTCTCAAAGATATCAAAAAGGTGGTAGGCAATCACCATGCTCCTGCTCCAGGCTTTTTTTCATGTTTTCTAGACCCCGTTGCTTCTCCCATAGACTCTTTCATCTTTTTTTTGAAGTGCTGTATTCAAAACCGGTCGCAGCAGGTCAGCTGTGGCCCTCCTGAGGCTGAGGGACATGGCAGGGTTCAGGTGTCCAGCCATCCATGCTGGCGTTCTTTTGCCTTTTTCACAAAAGCGTGACGGTGTTGCCCACGTTCGGCTCCCGGTCAGGAGGAATCCCTTTGCCGGAGGCTTTCCCCGGAGCGCTCTCTAGCCGTGCTGAGCACATCACGCGGTCGTGCAGCCCGCGGCTCTGGCCGAAGCGTGGGACTCTTTGCACATGGTCCCAGTTGAATCGGACCCTTTGTTTTTTTTCAGGCTATTTCTCTGATTGTCGAGATCATTTTGAATTCTGTCCTTGCCCGCAGGATACTTGCAATCCCTTGTAGCTTTTCACTACATCAATACGTTTACTGTTTATTATTTGGTGGCTGCGAGGCCTGGCCCACGCTCAGTTTTATACCCTGTGTATGCACCAGGTGGGTCATCACTTTGGTTTTTTTGTTTTTAACAAATCCAAATAGACTGGTAAATACCAATTACGGCCATCAGTCTAATGGTAGAAAGGTACTTTATCCTGGCATAGCTTCTTTCCTGTGCTGTACAACAGTAACTGTGCCAAGTCAAGCCTTTAAAATTTGGCATTGTGCTGCTTTATGCATGCGTGTGTGGTTGAAGGGCTGCAAATTCTGTGTGTAGACAGACTTTCATTGATACTACAACACATGTGGAATAAATAATGGTATTCTTCCCCTTGGCAGCTCTAGATGGGTGTATTTTTAAGAGCCTGCCACCCTGCCATTGCTATGATTATTATTTGTTCCTCTAACAGAAACAGTGCAACGTAATCCATTGCCATAGTTTAACCTTCTTTATCACAAACCCCGTGAAGCAGCCTGTAATCCCAGAGGAGGAAAGTGATATTGTTTAAGCTTTGTTGCTGTTCCAATTAAATCCTTGCTTCTGTGCAAAATACCTTGCTGTAAAAAGGACAGTACTGAAGTGGTCCGTTTGAGGAGGCTTCTCTATTTTATTCTCAGTGCTCCATCATCGTCATCTTTCCCAATAATTAGACATCAAAACAGGACAAGCTGTGTCACCCTGCAGATGCATTGTAAAGCTAAGTGCATTCAATGACCCAAAGCATGGCATTATCTCTCGTAACGCATACCTCAGAGTATCTCATTGTGCTTACAACGGTTTCGGTATTTTTAATTGCCATTTGTATATCCAACCTTTAGAAAACTGTGCACATCAGGTTTTAATGGTTTGTAATTACATGAGTCGGAGTTTTAGATCAGGTTTTCCTGTATCTACAATAGTCTTATAACAGCTTTTCATTTCTTCTTCTGAACAGGAGCTCTTGTACTCCTTGAAGAGCAGTAATGTAGCTCCTTGACTGCAGTTCTTATATTATTTTTTTTTTTCTGGCAGCTATAGATAAATTAATTTCTCATTTGTGGTAGATAATATTTTTATAGTAAAAATGAAGTTGAAATGACTTATATGTACTTCAACACATAAAAAGGGGAAGGTTAAAAATCATATTTGAATTGGCAGTTGTTAAAATGCAATTATACGTCCCCAAGGTAGCAGGGCAGAAGAAAATATTTTAAAAGTTCTCTCTGAAAGTTTAAAAATTCAATTAATGTCATAGAAGTGTAAGCCTGGAGAGTTGACTTCAGAGGAGCAGTTGCTACCCAAGTTCTTGAGCTTTTATGAAGTAACCTTAAGCCCTGTTAGCTGGCTTCGTCGAAGCTACTTCCAGTGCATAAAGTGCAAGAGATATGTAAATATTCACAAGAGTTTTGGTCTGTGCTTTCATAGAAGGGCATAGCAGGATCACGTGTTGGGTTTTTTTCTTAAGACAAAAGTGTAAGACAGTAGTCCTTTTACCCCTTTTTTTAACCCATCCATCAGTGCTTCTGAAGGGCTTCTGCTAAGAATTAGAAAATGATTTTCAAGATTTTTCAAGATGTTTCTCTGAAGAATCAGAGAGAGAACTGCAGCTACAACCAGAGAAGAGGGCATTCATCTAAGATGAAAAAAAAAAAAAATACAATCCGAATCCCAGCATGAGAACCTGGGAGGTTGGGAGCGGTACCTGAGCTGGGTCACTGGCTGTCATCCCTCCCTGCTGGTCACCTGCTGTCCCCCTGCCTCAGTTTCCCTGCTTGTACAGTGAAAGTAGTTGTGATTAGGGGGAAGCTACTGCTAAAAAGTACAAGCCTGAGTTGTGCTGTTATCGCGGAGGTGATTGCCTGTAGTGGGACTCATTCCCTGTGGGTTTGTGTTTTAGTGCAGAGCTGCCAAACTCAGGATTAGTGCTGTGAGGGTCCATCCTTCCTCCCTCCTGCTATCCATGTGCTGCTCCGAGGCCTAATGTTCCTGTACATATCTCCATTAGCCGGTTCAATGCACCACCCGCTCCAAGGGGACTTACTTTTAGAATTGAAATGTGTAAAAGTTGACTCACTTCTGCCCCGGGGATCAGAGAAGCCTAATAACTGGGACTGTCAAGCCCAGCAGACTGGGTGAGCTGGGCAGCAACAGCAAAGCAGGGTTCAGATTACTGGTTTGAAAGGAAATTAAATAATGGTAGGGAGTGCCTCTTGGTTCAGTGGAGGATACTTAACTGCTCTGTTACGCCTTCCTTTGATTATTTTTATCAGTTGCATGTTTCAGGACACTTACACGCTTCTCTGTAGCTTTTAGAGCAGATGCACTTAATGAAAAGGGTGTAGCTTTCGAAGTGACCTGTCATTAAGCTATGAGTGTAATTCAAGTCCCTTTTTAAAGTCTTGGGCCAGATTCTGTGCTCCCAAAATCCATACAATCAATATATGTAATTGATGATGTAAACAATATCAGGACTGAATCCTTCTCTGCTCTGTCTTGCTCAGTCTTTCCGGCAGCAACATAACTAATTCTGGTTCTTGACCTGAATGATAACAAGCTGTTAGTAAATGCTATACTGACCTTGATAGCTGTGAGAAAAACATTAGCTGAAAATATTTTCACCTTAGTTTGCTAGAAGTTTCTTTCTAAGAAATACTGAGATACAAAGTAACAGAGAAGTTTTCCAATTACAGTTCTTTCTTACAAGTTAATACATTTTATTAAAAATAGCTCAGATCTGAATCCAACAGAGGAAACTTATTCCCAGAGGAGTATATGCTAACTGTGCCTAAATAAATTTATTCTGTGTTATTTTTTTCTCACCCTAAAGTTAGGTATCGGAGGGAATTGTGGTTGGTAGGGAGGTCAGGGCGCTTGGAGCTGGACATCCTGAGATAGCTCCATTCTGCTACTGACCTGCTCCTGGGCACGCCAGCTCGTGGGTTTGGGTGTCCATCCCATAAAGGTGTGACGACTGCGGTGATCTTCCTGTGGAAGAGCTGCAAGAGCTGCCTGTGAAGCTTAGCCCAGCAGCTAAACTTGGTAAAGTATTCAGAGATAAGGTAGCGTTGCCCTGTGCTGGAGAAGGCGTTTGGGGTGGAACGACCTGGAAGCACTTTCTGAGGCGATGCTGTGAAACGAAGTGGTGCCAGCGGTGAGGAGGGTTTGGCATGGCAGTGTCACACACGAAATCCTTCCAGACAGGGGGTCCAAGGGCAAATGTTTCCTTGCCCATGGCAGACGTCCACAGGTTGCTAGAAGGCCCTCTCCCTTGTTGGACAGGATAAGCACTGTGCTGAGATAAGACAGTTGGCAGTGATTTCAGTGGGCAGCCTGACTTCCCATGTGGTTTATCAGTCTCGGCATCAACATTTTGCTTCCTGCCATTTTACTTTCTTATCAGGCACCCGGATTGCACCACATTGTTTTTCTAATTAATGTCCTTTCTCTCCCCTGCCATGATGGCTGCCATCAGCTGGAGGCGTTCTACTCCATATTCACCACTGAGCAGCAAGACCACGTCAAGTCCGTGGAGTACCTGAGGAATAACTTCCGACCACAGCAAAGCCTGAACAACAGGAAGGTGTCTAAGTCTGCTGTGAAGGATGCTTGGAGCCAAGATATGACAGACATCTTGGAAAATCCACTCGGCACAGAAGCTTCCAAAGGTAGATTACACTTACGAATTTTGCGCTTGACTAACAGGAGAATGTTTTTGGTCTACTTTGTCGTCAAATGGTGTCGAGGATAGCTGTGAGCTACCAAAGAAATAATGCGGGTTATGCAGGCATTCCTTGTTGGTATATGTCAATAAATTAACTAATCCTGTGGGTGCCTGCAATTACCTGTGAAGCTCACCATCACAAGGTGCCATGGCAATAAAGCCCCAGAATATGCGAGTCTCAAACTGGTGATGTCCCTGTTTCTGCTGACTGGCTGTAGGGCCTTAGAGATGCCCAACAAAAGGGAAACGTGGAGGGACAATGTCAGAGGTAAAATTTCAGCCCCATTAGCCTGACTCATCGGGTGTTTGAATGGGAATAGAGTATCCAGACGTGGTTATGGGTTTCATTTTTACAGTAACAAGACTTTTGAAGAACCGTCAACCTTTTAATTCAACGTTTTTATCAATCTGTTGGTAACAGTGACAGGGGGAAAAAATCCTTTTCCTCATAGGCAGGTGATTTTCTAATGTCTTGCTGAAGTGTTTCATGTGCCTTTTTGTAGAGCAGCTGGCGCTTGCTTCTGTCAGACACTGGATAATGAGCTGGATGGAGGGGGGTGGGAGGGAGGTTGCAGTGGTTGCGTTGGCACAGACAGCCCTGGCTAGAAGAGCGCATGAAAAATTCTGAGAGAAATGTGTACCGGATAAAATAAGACTAGAAATAAATATCGTTTACTACCTTTATTTGCCTTTATTTTATTGAATGGTATTATTTATAGGTAGGAGGAATGACACGTGCTTCCCAGTCTGCAGACTCGAGAAGTGCTTGGTGCTTAACCGGTTCTGGGCAGAGGTAAAGAAGAGAGGGGCAGTTTGCCAGAAGGAAGCAGCTAAGCAGATTTACAAGCTCGCCTCTCGTACCTGGCATTTTCACCTGGCCAGGCACAGAGAGCGTAGTTTTTAGAGGACGTGAATCATGAAAACAGCTGCGTTCAGCAACCTCACCCTCCCAAGAGGGTGCTGGAAGAGTGTGTTTCTCAGGGCTCGTTATTCTGTGAGCGTGCTTATTTAGATATATATGTAATATACACGTACACAAACCTCATGTACGTTAAAGGCAGCCTTGGGACGGAGAATTTACATCAGAAGTGAGAAGGAGATCTTGGGAATGAAGAAACCCTGCTACGCTCTGATGCTCTGGCCTGCAATTTTCAATCAGTGTTTTAACAGCAACATGTGTCAATATTTATTTCTTCAGTTATATCCTGTGTACATATTACTTACCCAGAACAGTGATGAAAGTTAATAGGTTACGTTATGTTAAAAGTGACAAAACTGGCTAGTTTTTATTTTGAGTGCAGCCAAGGTACCTCTGGTACATGTGGTATAATATTCAAGAAGATTTTACTGCTTTGGCCACATGCCTGCATATTCCTCGCCTCGCTGGATGGTTTTTTAAGATAATAAAAATACTTTAGGTGATTTTCACCCCCATAGTAAACAGCTAAAACCCACAATTTTGACAAAGCATTACAAACGCTAAGGTCTGTAGTTAATGGGCTGATCTTGAAGTTGGAAGTGTTGGTACTGAAGAAGCGCTTAAATAACTGGAAAGATTCACATGAACTTTGATCTTTGAGAGCTCTAAGGCTCAGATTCAACCAAGCACACATGGCGTAGTGAACATGATGTGAGCCAGTCTACAGGAGCAAGGGAGCTGCACAACCATTAGTCCACGTTTATATGGGTTGGTGCCTGGGTGCTTGGCACCTTACGTGCTTGGGGACTGGTTTCCAGAGCAGGTTCTCTCTGGGTCATCTCTCATCAGATCCAGGTACTGTAATGCTCTGTGCTCGTACCTGCCTGGGAATCTGAGCTTACGACATGCTCAACAGAGACCCTCAGGTGGGGGCCATGCATTTCCCGTGACCTGACAACATTCAGCGTCCCATCTAAAGCCAGGGATGATGCTAGTCAGTGATTTTTTTCCCTTGAGCTTTTGCTATCGGAGGCTAATGGCTGGGGAGCCAGTCTTTTTGTACCGGCTCTGTCAACTTGTCACTTTTTGGGTTGTGTACACGACAAGGGACACTGAAAATAGGTGCATTTTTTTCATGAACTTAAAAATAAATAGGTTGCTGCAGTGTTGCTAACACAAAATGGATTGTAGCATATCCTCCAAAGGTTACCGGCATGAGTTATAGCTGTTCCAGAGATATAACACATGGATGTTTCTGGCCCCTTCTTTGACAAAGGTGAACAGTGATGATGTGCCTGGTCCACTGCACATTCTGAACTAGTGACATATAAATAAAATGAGTTGAAGTCGTAATACTTGAGTGAAAGCAAAACCTATTGTTTATTCAGCTAGTAAATACAGTACCTCTTTATATAGTGTCATTCATGCAAAAGTACCGAGGAGCCGAGTGCACGGAGTTCTCCTCAGCCAGACAGCCTAGCATACAAATATAAGAGTGTAGGGTTAGCATAACAAATTTATTTTATGCAGATTCTTCTGCACACCTCATGGCTGCATCTCGATGCTTTCCACATCGCATTAAGCAATGTGACCAATGGCTGTCACATGTTGCCTCTTGCCTCCCCTCCCCGTGCTTAGATTTGTGTGTTGTAGAAAAAGGCAAGGTCACGAAAATGTGTCTTTTACTTACTGCAAGGTGATATGGTTTGTGATGGTCTTCAGCTCTGGAGGGGAAGTTTGGGTTTGTTTGTCGGTGTGAATTTTTGCAATTTGTTTCCTCTGTCACACTCTATTAAGTCTATGGGCAGTGCTGCTAATCTAGAAAACAGTGTAGCGTTCGTTATGTAAGCCTTTCTTATTTTGGAAGAAAATGTGCCCAGACCAATTTGCATAATGTTCAGAATAATTTTCAGAATTCCCTGGTGAATAGGGAATTTCAGATCAGCACAAAGCGATGCAGCTCTGCAGTTGTCCGTTGACAAACGTGCTATCCTGAACAGTTTGGCACCAAACAGGAATGTCTTTTCCCCAGCTATCAAAGCTATCTCGGGTCACAGAACCGTGACCAGTAGCATAACCTGCAGATACACTGGAGGAAAACTATTTCTCACTTTATGCCAGTCCTCTGGGTATTTCCTTAGCAAAGCCCTGTAAGTAGTGGCATTTGGTAAATAAAATGTCTTCTGGGAAAGGCTATTTTAGGTAAACCAAAACTGCCAGTGCGTTTGGATCCATTTTGTTAGCCAATACAAATGTTCCCAGCCTTCTGTTTTGCAGCTACTCTCCTCTCCCTCTGCTTTTTATTTTTGATTGTAATTTGGTGACAATATTTTAGCTACTTTGAAATAGTGTAGAGGGCTAATTTTTCACTTGGGAGTGAAAACTGCAGTTTTCCTTTTGTGTTAGTATTTAGCAAGAAGAGTTTTCTTTGGTCCTATTATCTCATTCCTTCCTCCTGTTGGCAAAAGCTGATTTAAAACAGTTCTCTTGAGGACCGCTTGTGTGCCTGGAGTAAAAGCATACGCGTAAGACCTTTGCTGAATCACAGCCCATGAGCTGAGCTTAATTCTTAAGTTGACCCTGGAGCTATTTCAAGAAACCTTACAGATCATCTTTAAATATCTTATTTCTGAAATATACCATTCAGGTTAAGTACTGTTCAGCTGTGTAATTTTAGCAACTGGTGGATTGATGATAAACCATCATACAACAATATTTTTTAAGAAGATGAAACTTTCAGAGATTCAAGATAGGCAGTGGATGGTGCTGTTAACTCATGCGGAACATCAGCCCTGTAAAATTTAACAAGAGAGCTCACCAGTGTTACAGTACTGATTTATATAAAGTTTTGCAAAGTTAGAGGTTCTCTGTACAGGCATATTAAACTGGGAATATATTTGTAAAATATTCATCAGATACTGTAAGTATCAGTGACAGTGGCAGTGTTTGAGTTTTCACACATGACCGTCTGTTAAAATTGCTTCCTTTCTTCTCTGGCCTGTCCTTTGTGGCTCAGGACTGTGTTGCTCTGTCACATCACGTACTGTGCTCCTGCCTTTTTGTGGGTGGCTTTCAAGCAGCTTTGCTAGAGGGATTCCTAATTATCAGTTTAATAGCGTGCATTGCTCATCAGGGACAAATAGACAGAATTCTTACGTAAAAGTCCATCCAGTTCAAGGACCTGAGTCTGCATGTTCCTTACTACTTTCACAGGTTGTCCCATCAAGCAGAAATGTATTTACAATACATTACCTTCTTCAGTAAAGGTGTAGGCATTGAAACTCAGGAGGAAAAGGTGTTTCATTTCCTTGTTGTAGGTTGTACCCCATGTGCAACCATATTTGCCCATTTTATTTTGCTGCTGATTAGGACCATCAAATGTTACTTCTTTCTCTTTATGTTTTTTAACGCTGGGGGAAAAGAAAAAAAAAACTTTAACCTTTCTGTCTCATTAAACGTGCTGCAAGCCTCACAACACTTAAACAAGCATCCCATGTGAGGGGCTCTTGACATCAGAGTTTTCTTTCACAGATGCCTGATTACTTCCCCAAAGGTGTCTGATTACTCTTTGCTGGAGTCTCAAATGATGCTGTTTCCCATCAGTGGGAATTCGCCTTAGAGTACCATCTTTAATTATGATCCTAGACTAAGTTAAATAATGAGCAGTCATAAATTCACTCTAGTAAAACTTACTTAGCTTTGGACTCTAAATTAACAGCTGGGACATTTCTCTAGTAGTGTACAGGCGATCGTTTTCCTTACTGTTCTTTTTTAAGTGGTAGTGATGCACAGTTTGGAAGTCCTTGTAACTTAATGCCACTAAAATGTGGATAGACGATATTTGGATTTTCCCTCCCACATGCTTCGCACTGGAGGCGCGTCTCCATCCATCGACCTGCAATCAAAGGTACAGCACTGCTCAAGCAAAGCAGTTTAGTTCATACTCGCTATTTCACGGCTTCTGACACCAGAAATGAAGCTAAGGCCTCCCACGAAAGTATTGTCTTTTCGGCATGACGTGGCAT